GTTTAGAGACAGTGAGGTAATGGTCTGTCTTGGGAAAGTTCGATGACACCGAGGCAATGAAGACTACACTAAGCATGGATAGTTCTGAGAGCAATGGCCCAGAGCTTATTCCATAACACTTGGAAGATGCCTATTGCAGTCTAGAGTTGCTCCAAAGGTTGTACGTGAAGGTTGTGTGCAAGCGCAAGTAAAGTGCAGAGGCAGTTTATTCTCCCCTCCAAAACAAGTCGACTACTTACCACTGTTCATCATCTTGTCCACCATGCTTTGTGGCTAAATGGACCTGTGTGTTTCCTCGCCCCAGTTTGGGGGTATTAGCAGAAATTATCCATATTTTTAACTCTGCCAATGCCGGCCCAAGCCCATCTGCGAAAAGAGGAGGGTTGGGTTCTAGGACAGCAAACCAGGCCTGTAAAAAGAGTTTACAGAGCGGTTGGGAATGTTTAGTGACAGTGAGGTAATGGTCTGTCTTGGGAAAGGTCGATGACACTGAGGCGATGAAGACTACACTAAGCATGGTTAGTTCTGAGAGCAATGGCCCAGAGCTTATTCCATAACACTTGGAAGATGCTTATTGCAGTCTAGAGTTGCTCCAAATGTTGTACGTGAAGGTTGTGTGCAAGCGCAAGTAGAGTGCAGGGGCAGTTTCTTCTCCTCTCCAAATAGGTAATTACTTACCACTGTTCATCATCTTGTCCACAATGCTTTGTGGCTAAATGGACCTGTGTGTCCCATGCCCCAGTTTGGAGGTATTTGCAGAAATTATCCATATTTTTAACTCAGCCGTGGCCAGTCCCAAGCACGTGCTGCGAAAAGAGGAGGGTTGGGTTCTAGGACAGCAAACCAGGCCTGTAAAAAGAGTTTACAGAGCGGTTGGAAATGTTTAGTGACAGTAAGGTAATGGTCTGTCTTGGGAAAGGTCGATGACACCGAGGCAATGAAGACTACACTAAGCACAGTTAGTTCTGAGAGCAATGGCCCAGAGCTTATTCCATAACACTTGGAAGATGCTTATTGCAGTCTAGAGTTGCTCCAAAGGTTGTACGTGAAGGTTGTGTGCAAGCGCAAGTAAAGTGCAGGGGCAGTTTCTGCTCCCTCCAAAACAGGTCGACTACTTACCACTGTTCATCATATTGTCCACCATGCTTTTTGGTAAAATGGACCTGTATTTTTCTTGCCCCTGTTTGGGTATATTAGGAGAAATTTTCAATATTTTTAACTCTGCCAATGCCGGCCCAAGCCCATGTTGCAAAAAGAGGAGGGTTGGGTTCTAGGGCAGCAAACCAGGCCTGTAAAAAGAGTTTACAGAGCAGTTGTAAATGTTTTGTGACAGTGAGGTAATGGTCTGTCTTGGGAAAGTTTGATGACACTGAGGCAATGAAGACTACACTAAGCATGGTTAGTACTGAGAGCATTGGCCCAGAGGTTATTCCATAAAACTTGGAAGATGCTTATTGCAGTCTAGAGTTTCCCCAATGGTTGTACGTGAAGGTTGTGTGCAAGCGCAAGAAAAGTGCAGGGACAGTTTATTCTCCCTCCAAAACAGGTCGTCTACTTACCACTGTTCATCATCTTGTCCACCATGCTTTGTGGTAAAATGGATCTGTGTGTTCCTTGCCCCAGTTTGGGGGTATTAGCAGATATTTATCCATATTTTTAACTCTGCCATGGCCGGTCCCCAAGCCCGTGCTGCAAAAAGAGGAGGGTTGGGTTCTAGGTCAGAAAACCAGGCCTCTAAAAAGAGTTTACAGAGCGATTGGGAATGTTTAGTGATAGTGAGGTAACGGTCTGTCTTGGGAAAGTTCAGTGACACTGAGGCAATGAAGACTACACTAAGCACGGTTAGTTCTGAGAGCAATGGCCCAGAGCTTATTCCATAACACTTGGGAAGATGCTTATTGCAGTCTAGAGTTGCTCCAAAGGTTGTACGTGAAGGTTGTGTGCAAGCGCAAGTAAAGTGCGGGGGCAGTTTTTGCTCCCTCCAAAACAGGTCGACTACTTATATAGGAGTGTTAGCCTTTTATTAACGTTTTTACAGTACATGGAGAGGAAACAAAAAAGGTAGAAGGAAGCTGATAGGTTTGTTTTATTAACGTTTAGTGCTCTTTTCTGCTGGAAACCTGCTCCAAACAGCTACAAAATCGATTTTTTTCTGATCCTAGACTCTGAAGCTCAAAAAATGCTAATATCCTAAAATAGTGTGCATGGATGCATAAGATTAGACTATTTAGCTTCTAAGAGCAGCAAAATAAAATACTAATAACAGCTTCTAGGACAGTGGTTCTTAACCTGGGTTCGATCGAACCCCAGGGGTTCGGTGAGTCAGTCTCGCGGGTTCGGCGGAGGTGAAGACCCACACCTGACTCATATGATTCGTGCAGTAAATATTCATTATTATGTTTTTGTTTTTTGTGTGAAAATCATGTTTTAATGGTTTTGTTCTTTGTTCTTAACGGTTTTGTTCATTTTGTGCACCTATGTATAAATATATACCTAAATATATACCTATGTTTTGAATTTGAAAAATCATATTTTATTTTTCCAATTAAGAAAGGTTCGGTGAATGCGCATATGAAACTGGTGGGGTTCAGTACCTCCAACAAGGTTAAGAACCACTGTTCTAGGAGCTAGTGTGCATGGAGCCTAAGGCTCCATGTACACTGCAGCTGAGCTGAGCATTTAGGAGGTTTTCTGAATATTTTTCAGCAGTCCCTGAACTCTCCCCTAATGTTTTTCTTATGTGTCCATGTACACTATGTCGTTTACAGATAGTTGAGTTTACAGTCGTTTTTTGAATGCACCAAACTTGCATTCAGGAGTAGATTTTATCAGCGTTTCAAACGCTAAATGCGGCTAACTGCGTTTATAGTCGATTGAAAAATGTTTTTAACTCTTCCATTTCCAGATGCTGTCCAGAGCCTTTTTTCATCATGAGAAATGCATGCAAAGCGTTTTCCTGGTACTCAAATGGACCTAGCACACCATACATCGAGGTTTCGCATGAAAGAAAATGGTATTCACTTCTGCAATAATTTCTGCACAGAAATGAGCTGGAACAAACACCACAAAAAAAAAACAGCTAATCTCAACAAATACTGCTCTCTCTGCTGCTGCTTTCTCTAAAAATGTCTGAAATAGTTAATTCTTTACTGTTTTTCAGTGCATTCTGGGTATTTTGGAAGGTCTCCTGAGGTTATCTTTAAAAAAAACGCTTCTAAACGCAAACGCTCATAAACACGCATAAACGTGGTATGCAAACACGGCTAAACAGATGTTTTTTTAACTTACGTTTTCCAGCAGTAAGTTTCCATCGTGAAGTAGTGTCCCGTGTACATGGAGCCTAAGGGTATAACATGAAACATGGTGACATTCCTCAACCCTCAAACTGCCCCCCATTTAACTAAAGGATTGGGTTTTCCTCCCTGTAGCTGCCTCCTTTTATTTCATTTAGCATGACTGGGCTTGGCTTTGACCATACAGCTGTATCATCCATTCACAGAGATCTATAAATGAGTAACGTCTTCCACTGAAGTAGAGAAACACTGAAGTAGAGATCTCAATAAAACACATCACAACACTTGTAGTCTATTGTGTCCTTCCTCCAGCCCCATAACTGAAGGTCCACACCTTCATACAGACCTGGGGCTGGAGGTAAACCAAGAATTGCACATGTGATGCACTGACTTTAGATGCAATGCTCTGCGGGCTTCAGTGCTAACTGCAATAAATGCCCTTTTTTAAATATATGTGGGTTCATTTATCTAATTTTGGTAAATGGGGGACTATTCCTTGAAGGTAAGAAATAGTAACAGGAGGCCAGCAATGTCAGCTTCCTTACATGTTTAGTCAAAGTTCCCTTTAAGGCAGCTTTAGGTATTGATAATTGACCCTCCCCAAAGCCCATATAACACCTGCAAACAGACTCCTCCTGCAGTACCTCACTATATAAGTTCCACAGACAGCCTTCCACACAGTGACTATAGTGTCGGTGAGCTCGTACCATGTTCCTGCGTAGGGCTGTCGTGGCTGGTGGAGCAGCACTTCTTGCTGCAGCAGTTGTGAGACATAGTGGGGAAGACTCCAATACAGCTGCTGTGCTATGGCCACCAGCCTTCACCAGGAGCTGGGACCCCAATTGGGACCGGTGAGTTTTTCATGTAGTAGATGTGACAGCAGGGTTAAAGTTTGAATATCCTCTCATGTGGGGTGAGCAACTCCATGACTGGAGCAACTTGTTAGAGTTCTGCTTTTCTCTTCTGGCTCTCTGGACATGGTGTCAGGCCTATTTTTGTACTGTTTCCACTGAGCAGAGGAAGTCATTTTGGGGGTAGTATGTAAAGTGGCCTGTGTTGGGGCTTGTTACAACTAGTTGTTGGGGTGGTGGGGGGCAGGAAAACCCCTTAGCTGAGCTGCTTTTACCACCTCCCAGCCACTCTCCTTTAGCTGGTGTATGTATGTATACACCCTGTGCTCATGATACTTTGGTTTGGCCACGGAAGGAATTAGTCTTTACTTATTATTGGGGGCTTGCTAGTAAATTTTATTTTCTATAAATGCGGGCACTTCCTGGTGGTCTTTGAGCTCTTCCATGTTCAGGCATATCTCTACCTCCTTAAAGGTTGTCTACCCCTGAACTATGGCCAGCTTATGCACTAGTTCACCCTCTATGCAGTCACTATATTAATAATACAGCGCTGTACATTACTATCTATATGCAATAGAATTACCTTTATCTAATTGGCTTAGATAATGCCTCTGTTGTGTTCTCAAGAATCCTGCTGGGGAAAAAATAGAAGTGCTTTTCATGGCTCTGTCCTTGTCTTGCTGGGATTGACTAACCATTAGGACAAGCACCCCTCTGAATTTTTATTTATATTGTAAAGTGCTGAGCAAACTGTTGGTGGTAGTAGTATTAGAATTAGTAGTATTTTACAGCTGAAATGTTAAGCTCTGACAAACTGACACTAACATTATTTTTTAACCTTTCTAGACGTGAACCAATGTATCTGATTAATCTAAGCGACCTGAATGGAAATGAGGATGAGTTGCAAAACCAACTAAAAAAATATAAAGCAAAGGTCAGACGTCATGTCCTCCTTGTTCGCCATGGACAGTACAATGTGGATGGTAAAGCAGACTCTGAAAAAGTCCTAACAGCACTTGGTAGGTGTTCTGCCCCACTTTCATGCAAAAGTCTTTCACCAGGCAATAATTTTTTTTTTTTTTTTTCTGTAGTATGCTGACATCTAGTGCAGTTTTTAGCAATTACAGCTTTACTATGTTGGTTTATCACCATGTTTATTTGTAGCTAGACCCACCCTTACTTCCATGTTATCTCAGTCGTTTAGTTTTTCAGACAGGGTTTGGGAAAGTCATTGTCTTGCACTTAAAAAAATACTGAAACTTCTTCTATATGCTAGTGTTAAATTCAACTTGTCTTGAGTGAAGCTGCTTGTGGATGGTGCAGAGTCAACAGGTGACCTTACTGTCCAGAAAATCTGTGTTGCCTTCCAGGCATCCCCCCCCCCCCCCCCCTGCTGAAAATGTTAATGGCATGTCATCCTCTTCCTGCCTTGCAATTTGCTCTCTTCCTGCAGTTCCTAGGTGAAGGTGGTGGGACCTTAGTAAGATCTGAGGATGGAAATACAAGGATCAGGATTTAATTTTGAGAAGGCAGTTCATATGTCTTAAGATCTGGGATTTCTTCAGTTGTACTGTATTCACATTAAGTTGCTGTCCACAAGATCACATACTTGCCCAACTAGTATACCCACATCAATTAAACTTCAGTTTATTTTGGTACCTTAACAGAATTGTCTTCATGCTCTAGGTCGCGAGCAGGCAAACTTGGCAGGGCAGCGTCTTGCTAGTTTGGGTTACACCTACAATGCGATGACATACTCTACACTGCAAAGGGCCAGAGAGACATCAGAAATAATTAGCCAGCATCTGGATGGTATGTATTAAGTGAAATGACTGGATTGGCATTGGTTCAAAATTGCATTTCTACATGTTGCATGAAAATGTTCAGTTCACAAAAACTGAAATAGAAAAAACATAAAGCTGTTATGTTATCTGGAGATGTGTTGCAGAACTAGTGAGACTTGGCGGGCCTCGGCTGCCCCTGTCATGGTACAGAGATCTGAAGTAATGGCATGGGTACCCCATTCAGTGCACATGCACCAGTGACATCACCAACTGCTGCTCTCAGGAATATCTCCTAAATGTGCATGTTTAGGAGATCTTAATTTTTTCTAAAAGTGGAAGAACTGACTTTGCTACCTCTTCTAACTTTGGTTTAGACCAGTGGTTCTTAACCTTGTTGGAGGTGCTGAACCCCACCAGTTTCATATGCGCATTCACCGAACCCTTCTTAATTGGAAAAATAAAATGATTTTTAAAATTCAAAACATAGGTATATATTTATACATAGGTGCACAAAATGAACAAAACCGTTAAGAACCAAACCATTAAAACATGATTTTCACACAAAAACAAAAACCTAATAATGAATATTTACTGCACGAATCATATGAGTCGGGTGTGGGTCTTCACCTTCGCCGAACCCGCGAGACTGAGACTCACCGAACCCCTGGGGTTCGATCGAACCCAGGTTAAGAACCACTGGTTTAGACAGTCCCTTAATAAAGCAGGGGCATACTGCATAAAGTTGGTTAAGAGGGGGGGGGGGGGGGTCTATTGTCAAGGCCTGAATTGGAAGTTACCCTTGACCAGCAGATGAGATGCTTAACCACTGATGTATGCGTCCTTTGAAGATGACTGACCCTTCCAGAAATGCTGCACCCTCTGACATCTTAAGGCTGGAACATTTGTAACACACCCTAAGCCCTAGTTCACACCAGTGGGCTATGCATTTTAAAAATCAAACCTGAAGTTGCAGCCAATGGTTTTTTCTACAGCACGTTCTTAATCCGTTTTAAAAATCGGTCCTGCACTACCCTTTCTCTCCCTTCCCCCCCCCCCCCCCCCCAACTTGCATGGACTTGTTAAATGAAGATGCAAGCCACAGTGCAACTAGAGGTACAAATCACTGACCTGCAGCTTTGAAGTAGCGCTGAGTTGCAAAGTGGTGTGATTTCAAAGTTGCATTCAGTGTGAACCAGGGCTAAGCCATCAAATGGCCATAGCAATGAACAGGTACAAGGTAAAACTCCTTTCACAAAGCAACAAAATGGGGACCAAGTGTCTCTGTACCTGAACCCTAATTCTAAGGAGGTCCTAATTAAAAGGGCAGTACTGGAAGCTAATGGTTCCTTCAATCTCTCCAGATCCCACTTCGCTAGCCAGCATAGTAATCATTGGAAGGGCCCTAGTTGTTGCTTTGACAAAATAAGTGGATCCCATGGCACAGAGTGAAAATTCCCAGATCATGGAGATGGTTTAAGTGGGGTAAGAAATTGTAGCCAGCAGCCTCTTGCCACATTGCCGTCTGTATTTAAGCCACCTCCCTCTCTAGCATTGGGAACTGGTGGTGGTGATGACTTGGAACTCTGTAGTGGCAATCTGTCTGAATTGGTGATGTTCCCATTCCTCCAAGTCACTGGATCTGACAGTTGAGCCCTCCATGCAGACATGCCCTGTATTGATGCCACAGCAAACACTCATGAAAAGTAGCACTGCCAACTTGGCAGCGCTTTCCAGTAGTTGTCTCCTGCTTCCTTGAGCTGCTTTCATTTTTCCTTCTGCAGCTCTGGCCTCCTGCATGTTGTAGTCCCATCCAGTCCTTTGCTTTACATATGTTGTCACCTGGAAACTAAATCCTTCCAGTTCAGGTGGCTCCCAGCAGTCTCTTGCCTTTCCCTGGCTGCATAGCAGGCAGTCTGTGTGGTGGGGTGTTTTTTTTTTTTTTTTTTTTTTTTTTAACTATAATCGTATGTTTTGCGTTTTTTTCTTTAACCGCCTTCCGCCCGCCATATAGCAATGACGGATGCAAGGTGCTTCTCTCATTCTGGGAGGATATGACTTCCTCCCATTCTAACCGCGCATGCGCAGCGTGGCGATTGGCGGTGCGCTGTGTCCCTTGGACACAACGGATTACCGATCCACAGAGAGCCGAAGATGTCAGCTCTGTTATGTGATCAGCTGTGTCCAATCACAGCTGATCACATGTAAACGGGGAAATGCCGGTTATTGGCATTTCTCTCCCCACGAGCTGTCATGCTGATGGCTCGAGAGAACTGGTAATCGACATTCCTCGGAGGGTACATGTACACAGATCAGAGCACTGATGATCTGTGGAGCCCCAGCAGCGCCACCTGCCAGTGCCCATTAGTGCCACATATCCATGCCCATCTGAGCTGCCTTTCAGTGCCACCTATCAATGCCTCCTTATCAGTGCCCATCACTGCAGCCTCATTAGTGCGCATCAGTGAAGGGGAAAAAATCACTTATTTACAAAATTTTATAACAAACTAAATTTTTTTTTTTTTTTCAAAATTTTCAGTGGTTTTTGGTTTAAGAGAAAATAAACCCAGAGGTGATTAAATACCACCAAAATAAAGCTGTCACAAAGATACAAATTTAATATGGATACAGTGTTGCACTTTGACAATTGCACAGTCATGCAACTGTGCTGAAAGCTGGAAATTGGCCTGGGCAGGAAGGAGGTATAAGTTTCCTGTAGGCTAGTGGTTAAAGTAAACCTATATTTTTGTTGCTGAGGGAGTCAGTGATGTGGAGGTTGGTAGTGAAACACAAAACCAGGTTGCATAGAACATTTGACACTCAGACATTTGTTTGTCCAGTAATGATCCAAAAGGTTGGCAAGGGAACACATGAGTACTGTGGGGAACACAGGAGACTAACTCCTAGATTTGTTTCCACAAAGACTTCTGAGGACAATTCCTCTGCAATGGAGTGGCATGAATATATTTGCTTTGCATGGAATGCATTTAGTCTGAGATCTGCATTGGTAATGGGGTATCTTTCACCTTTCACTGAAGCCAGACCATGAGCAAAGACTGTTTTTGAGTATACAGATACTGCTCAGCAATACAAAATGAACATGTATTCAACAAAAGATTAATGGGGTTCTATGGGCCTAGCATTAATTTAGGAAATTGTGGTCTGCTTCCTCCACACTTTGGTATGTCTGGTAATGTGCATTACAATAAAGTGGGTGTTGCTATTTCAATCTGAATGTCAACACAATGCAGATTGTAAATGAAATTGAACACAAACTAAATTGCATTTCCACAGCACACACTAGCTGCCCTACATATTACAAGCGATAATGGAAGTGACTGTGTACATGTGCCAGATTTGGGCTATGCTGATATTCAGTTATTACATCCAGGACTTTTGAATCCATATCTCGTGTACAAAGATGGACAGTCAAATTGTCTTGTTCTTTCACAGGTGTGCAACGAACTGGTTCTGACTTGCTAAGAGAAGGGGCTCCTATTAGACCTGATCCACCAAGCAAGCACTGGAAACCAGATGTAGTGGTGAGTTGTATGGAATCTCTGCATTAAACTTCAGTGACTGAGCAGCAAGTAATTAGGATTTGTAATGTTGTCTGCATGGGAGAAATCCTACACTTTTTTTTTTTTTTTTTTCCTCCTAACCATAAGACCAAATTCCCTTGACCAGCTGCCAAGTGAGTTCAGTCAATCTATTAAATTGACAGTCAATTTCTGTTGAGTGGGACAACCACACACTGATCAAAATTTGACTGGTCTTTGCTGAATTTCAATCTGTGTATGACCAGTTTTAGGTATTGCAATAAACATGAGAATTTGAACAAGCTTGTGCTTTATTCCTAATTTTTGTGCATTAAATGCTTAAAGCAGAACTTTACTCATGACAATTTTGATAAACCATTTTTAATTTTAGCAAGGAACATTCTGCACTTTTTTTATGCTAACAAAATTGTGTGATGTAAATTTGCCTCTGGCATTGCTCCTGTTCATGCTGGAGCTCCGCTCAGAGCACCTGAGCAGCTGTAAATCTTTAGGTGGTTCTTGCCTTCAGTGCTCTGTAGTGGCTCTTCTCTGCATTGACAGGACAGAGGCAGCAGTGGAAGCCATTGGCTCCTGTCAATTAAATCCTGTAAGGAGGAAGTGGGGGGGCCCTAGCCACACACTGTAGACACAGCCCAGCTTGGGAGCAAGCCTGTAGCTGTGTCACCATATGAAGCAGCTTCCTATGGTGGCACAGTGGAGGAACCAAGAGTCAGTGGAGGTTTGGGGACACTTCTGTGACTCCATTGCATAGCACAGTGAGTATAAACCTGTGTGTGTGTGTGTGTGTGTGTATATGTGTGTGTATGTATGTATGTATGTGTGTGTGTGTGTGTGTGTGTGTATGTGTGTGTGTATATATATATATATATATATATATATATATATATATATATATATATATATATATATATATATATATATATATATATATATATATATATATATATATATATATATATTTTTTTTTTTTTTTTTTTTTTTTAAAAACCAAAACCATACTTATATTTCTGCAATTCTCTCTCCAGTATTTAGAGGATGGACCACGTATAGAATCTGCTTTTAGAAGCTATATTCACCGTGCTGACTATGAACAGAAAAATGAAAGCTATGAGATTGGTCTGCCATGATAATGTTATCCGCTATATTGTATGCAGGTAAGGGAACCTGCCACCTGAGAAGTTTTTTGCAAAAACTATTTTGTATACAAAGATGCTTTTAATGTGTTTGCCTTGGTGAAATCACCACCTGTAGTGTCTCAAAGGGAGTGTTAAAACTGCAGTCTGATTGCAATCTGCACACATGGACCATAAAGACCTATTGCTCCTCCAGCCTGTAAGCCTGTGTAATTGCTGGAGGAGAGGAGCGTGAAATACACTTGGCCATGGTACTTCTGTGCAGCTAAAGGTTGCTTTTTGCTCTACACAGAGGATGCTAGTTAAGCCCTGGTTCACATATGTGCAGGTGGTGCTGCTGCAGATCAACAAGAAAATCTGTGCAGCCGCACCACCCACACAGAGGAATGCAGACCTGCGGCCGGGTGCCATTAGTTCTAAGGGCACGCTGCCCACACTGGAAAATGCAACTGTAATGGGAAGCGAGGTTCCTGTGTGGGCTGCATTCATTTCAGAAATGCAGGGAATTCTTCCCTGCATGGCATGGGTGTCCATTCAAATGAATGGGCTCTCATGCCTGTGCAAAATGTGGCCTGCACGGCTGCATATATGTGAACCAGGGGTAAGGGAAGGCTAAAAGGCCTGTTTCAAACATGCTCCAGCTTATATAAGCAGTGTGAACAGCTACAAAGCATTTGAGGAGCTTTGAAGCTTTTAATGGCCCTTCAGATCCAGTTTTGTAAACGTTGAAGACAGATCCTAATGGGAGTGTTACTTGTCACATAAACAAGATGCTGCCACTCTCTAGCACAACTTTGAAGCTTGTTGAAAGCCTCCCAAGGCCAGCTAGCTTGTTTAAAAAGTGACATTCTGCACTCCCATTAGGATCTGTGAATAACATTCCCAAACAGAAGCTGAAGGGCACCTTAATAGCTTGGAGAGCTGCTGACAGTTTCATAAAAGCTTGCCGTTCACACTGCTTGTACAAGCTGAAGCCTGTGTAAAATGGGCCTTGCACTATATAGAACTGCATACAGATCATGAACACTAAGTATTTACAGATTCTGAACAAGTAGCTGAAAGTTGAGATGAGCTTGTTGTAAGTGCAAATACTCTCAAAGTTAAGATAAATGAACTAGCACTAGCAAGCTGTCCAATGTGAGCAACCAGCAGGTGTCCAGACTAGGGTTTCCACCTCATCCCTTTCAAACCAAACTCCTATTAATTACACAGGTTCTGGGGCTAATTTAACCACTTCCCATCCAGCTGATGTCTATAAACAGCCAGATGGGAGTGCTGCTGAAGTGGGTTGATGTTTCTAAATGTCAACTGCATTCGATGCCTGTGCGAGCTCATGGGCTCCTCCGGACGCAGCAGAACACAGATCGCTGTACGGGTCCTGTGTGAGGTTCCGATTCATGTGATCACTGGTATAGTAGTAAACAAGATGTTACTTCTGACATCATTGCTCACTACTAGTGAAATCTGGTCAGAGGTCACATCGTACAAGGCTATTCACAACAAGCAGCCAGAGAAATTATTGCTTTTACAGCCTTTATGGGTATAAAAGCAATCTGTGTGAGGGGGGGTGGAAAAAATTCACCCCCCCCCCCACAAGTAGTACAGTGTCACTATGGTGACACTGTAATGCCAGGGTGACGGTAGGTTAAAAAAATTGAGATTTTATAATAGGGTTTTTGCCTAAAGATAGCTAAATACATTTTGGCCAAGATTATGAAGAGATTTTGTTTGAAAAAGTTTTGTTTTAAAAAAAACGTTTTATAATTTTTGGAATTTTTCACTTGTATAGCAAAAATAAAAATCCCAGTGGTGAATAAATGCCACCAAAAGTTCTGTCTCCAATGATAAAATTCATATGGGTACAGTGTTGCATGACCACACAATTGTCAATCAGTGTGATTGTGCTGAAAATTGGCCTGGGCAGGAAGGGGGTGAAAGTGTCTGGACTTGAAGTAGTTAATGTATTAACTCACAAAGTGAGTTTAATTCCTACCTTAATCAGCCTCAGACACTGTAATAATGTGTCCAGTTTTAAAGGGATGAGGTGGCAACTCTAGTTCACGCCATTACTCGAGGTTTTGTTCTCAAAATTCTGAAACCTAACATTAAAGTTTTTTTTTTTTTTTTTTTTTTTTTTTTTTCCTTTCTTTTCAGTGGCATTAGGTAGGTCACCCAATTATATAGTCCTGTTTGTGTGGATGTAATCCAGTTAGGTGGTCTCCTAAAAGCAGGACTGGCTCCTCCATCATTGGTATCGCTGATCACCCCATAAGGCAACGTTCACAATTGCAGCAGACCTTGCAAGCACTCTGAAAAAAAAATTTGCTGTGGATAGCTTTTCAAAGGGATTTGACAGGCAGTGAGGTGATTGCTTCTTCAGCATCCATCTTTAACCCTGTAAAGCCCACAGCACTGAAAACTCCGTTGCCTGTCTTGGTCCATTGGCCAGTGAAATGATTGCTTTTATGGCCTTTGAGTATAAAAGCAATCTGTGTGGGGGGGGGGGGGAATTCACCCCCCCCACCCCCCCCTGTCATACTACTCTACACTGACTGTCACACCAGCAGGAGGAAATGCCTACACTTTCAGGTAGGCTAATGCCCCATGATTTCTTAAGATGACCCTGGGTTAAAGCCAAATCTGAACCCTAAAAATAAGCTTTATTGCAGCTTAACGGTCATTTTGAATGTTCTGGCTGCATTGATAAATGCTTTGGTCATTGATTAGATTTTCTTGTGCAAGCTTTCACCTGGTATTCTGCCCATAGCACACTGCAGTCCTAGGATGACTGACAACACTGCTTACTCCTCTCTCATGAAAAGAGAACTACAGAACCCAGCCTCTCATAACAAGGGTGTGGTTCTATAGTCATCAGAGCTACCCAAGAACTAATATCAGTAAAATCAAACTGATACAGGCAGAGTGCAAGAAGGCTTTGGCTCACAAGATTTCTGACCTTTCTCTTTATGCTTTTTGTTAAAGCGGTAGCAAACTTTTTTTTTTCTACAGGTAAACCTGTAATAAAGGTTTCCTTTATTACAGGTTTCCTGTAGGTACAGTGAATAAATATCTCGTAAATGTATACAGGGTAGGAGATATTTACTTGTGTAGCAGCTGGTGACTTTACCAGCGCATGCACACTTTGCTTTTAATCAATGGCATGCTGTGCATCAAGAGCTGTGCCACAGCCATGACTCCACAGCATGTAATCAGTTTAGCCATTCAAAAAGCATGCTGCTGTGTTAAGCCTGTAGGGGGGAGAAAGTTTGGATTTTTTTACTACCACTTTAAATATGCATTTAAGATTTACTTATTGGGTGTAGATGCTCTTTAAAAGCATAATATCTGGAATTTGCACAATTGAATCTCTACTGTGACCAGTCATATTGGGTCACATTTTAGTAGATATTTTCCCCAAAAATTAACTAAACTTTTTTCTTCCTCCCTAGGGCTCTTCAGCTGCCTCCTGAAGCTTGGCGACGCATGGATCTAAATCATGGCAGTATTACTGAACTTGTGATTCACCACAATGGTAATGTAACTCTAAGGATGCTTGGTGATGCCGGGTATATGCCAGCTTCTAAACTCAGCTGCTAAACTGGATGATGCTGACAAATTTTACGCCAAGTTGAGTTCAGGATCAATACAACTGCCTCCAGACTACATGAAAAGCTTGATGGATACTGTCTAAAATGTATATTGAGATTAAATTTATTGGGCTTCTGTTTGCACTATGGGAGTTAACTAGAATATAGAAAGTATGGTGACTGCTAATGTAACCCAATTCCTAAATGCTTGGTGGAGGGGGAATTACAGAAGGTAATGTAGCTGCACTTTGTGCATTAAGTCTATGCACTCTTATCACTGTTGCCTGTACACTCTGGAATTTTGTACCCATTTTAATGTCTTTGTATCTCTTTTCTATAGTGATCTTGAATTAGGCTGTGCTTGGTGAAAGCATGAATTGTATGTATCAAATTTAAATAAATGCAGGTCAAAACTATTTGGTTTCACTTTAATTGTTCATACAAACATGTTCTCATAGCTACTTTCAGAAACTGGAATAACTTTATCAAATGACCACACCAGCATGTTTTTGCTTACACTGTAGCATTTGACCCATTGTGAAGTAGTTTGGCAACTTTGAGAAGTTTCAAATTAACCTTCAGTAATGATGGCTATTTTGTCTGATTTCTGTTCAGTGATCAGGCCAGTTCATTTTCCTCTGCTTTTTTCTAATGTGTGGTGGAATCCTATAGGTAATCATGTGATAGATGGGTACATGGTCCCCAGTAAGCTGATGTGAAAGCATGTCTAACAATCAAGAACCATATCAACTCTGGCATTGTTCAGTAACTCGTAGATGCTAAAAGGTTGATTTGGTAGAATCTTCATGTTTATCAACCCTTTCCGACTGATGGGAGGGAGCTTCCCTTTCAATTTCACAGGTATTAGGCCTCCAAGTTATTACTTTCAATGATAACTTGATCAGGTGAGTGTTCCTCCAGCTTTGTAAACTGTGACCAGGAACTGTAGTGTCGGCATTGTTCCTGTGGTGCAGTGCACACTTCACCACAAAGGAACACTGCCTGTAAGCATATAGGGCAGCTTGGTTGTAAAGTCCAATGACATACTGCCACATGTGGATGACTGGTGGCAGGGGGTTGGTGAATCTACAGGCAAAAAACACATACATGCTGGCTCTTGTCATGTGTGGTTTGGGTTTTTTTTTTTTCTTGTCCTGTAACAGTTTCTGTTGGTCCTGGCAAATCCTGTGTGTTCAATTTACAGTGGCAACAGTGTTTTTTGTAGTAATGTCACCCTTCAGAAGGTGTAGATTTTGATGGCTTTATAGGTTTTACCAGTCTTGGACTTGTGTTACCACATGTCCAAAGAACTGAATGGTTGTAAACCTCAGACATGAAATATGAACAAAATCAAATCCCTCTATAGTGTGTACTTGGTGGTGCTCTTAACTGGGTCTTTCCTGTCTG